GGGATGAGAGGAGGGGGATGGGATGAGAGGAGGGGGATGGGATGAGAGGAGGGTGTGGGTTAGATCAGACAGGTGCATATGCATGAGTACAGTGGTGCAGTAGGAAGCAGAGTGTGTGGAGCCGCACTGTCAATATGCAATGAAACCCACCCCTCTAACACCAAACATGCAATAAAACCCACCGATCATCTCCTGTAGCTCCTCGTCCGTCATGTTTTCTCCCAGCTCCTTGGCCACCCTGAGTATGAGTGTGTGTGTGTGTGTGTGTATATGTATATGTACATGTGTTTATGTGGGTGTGGTTGTGTGTGTGTATGTGTGTTAGCGTGTATATGAGTATGGGTATGTGTATGTGTATGTGTATATGTATATGTGTATGTATGTGTGTGAGCATATATATATATATATATATATGAATGTGCGAGTATATGTATATATAGTACTCACCTCTTGAGGTTCCGGAAGCTGATCTTCCCCGTCTCGTCGTCGTCGAACAGCCGGAACGCCTTCAGAATCTCCTCTCGGGAGTCGCGCTCGCTCATTTTGGCTGCGGGGTGGGTGGTGGGGGCGGGGAGTGGGTGGGGTGATAGAGAGAGAGTGGGTAGGTGTGGGGGGTTAGAGGGGGGCTAGCGGGTGCAGGAAGGAGCAAAGCACATACTACACCACACGTAATAGTCTTGCAATATTGTGCACTGACCCGTCATCATCTCGAGGAACTCCGAGAAATCAATCGTGCCCGAGCCGTCCTTGTCGATGTCCGAGATCATTTTCTTGATCTCCTCCTTCTTGGGCTCGAAGCCCAGCGCGCGCATCGCCACCTTTAGCTCCTTCGCGTCGATCGTGCCCGAGCCGTCCGTGTCGAATAGATCGAAGGCCTCGCGGATCTCCTGCTTCTGCTCCTCCGTGAGCTCGAACTTCTTGCTCTTCGCGCCGGCTGCCTTCTTGGTCGCCTGGGGGTGCGAGGGGGATGGTATTATTGGGAAATAGATGAGGTATATTAATACAGAGGTCGCGATAATTGTTGGAAAGGTAAAAGGACACGCGATTGAGTAGCTGCATGTGCGATAGTGGGGGCGGGAGGGGGGGCGAGGTCGCGAAGCGACCTCGCCCCCAACCGCAAGCTCTGCGCGGCCGCTACGAGTGCTCACCATTTTTAGCTATTGGGTGGGTAGGCGAAGAGAGAGAGGGAGGGTGGCTTGAATGAACAAGTCGGCTCAGGGATGGGCTGGATAATGTGGCAGTGGGCGGGGAAGTGGGCACCGACTATGGAAGTAAAACTGATCGAAGCCGTTGCTCTCTTTGCAGAGACAGTTTCAAACAAAAAGGGCAGCAAAAAGGACGGCAAAAAGTTTTGCTGCCAAAAGGCAAAAGAAATGCTCGAACGGGGGCTCGAACCCAGGACCTTGGGTTTATTAGACCCACGCTCTGACCGACTGAGCTATACGAGCAAGAATGAAGAAGCGATGTTCTTTATTCGATGATTTGTAGTTTATACGCTATCAATATAAATGACCCCGCTCCACCGACTGAGCTAAGCTTCTTGCCATCCACCAGTCCACGCCCATACGCCCCGGGTGTTTAGGGGGATCAGGGCGCGGCGGCCGGGAGCTGGAGGTCATGGATGGTCGACGCCCCAGAAGAGAAGAAGAAGAATGTAAAGTGTCCTTGTAATTATATTTGGATAACCTATCTATCTGCTGTCTGTAGTCTCCCTTTCTGGAGGGTGCCGGGATAATACTTAGTACTAAAAAGGAGGTCCCCTGGGAATAAAAGCTCTCCGAACTTTTGTTGTCTTTTTTGGCGATGCCCTCCCGAGTCTTCAGATTATGTGGGTGCAACCTTCCCACTTCAGCTGGAGGGTTCTAGAGTTCTACATTCGGACGTGAGCATTTGACGTCACAATCGGGGGCCAATTCGTTCAACTGAGCTCTCTCCCAGGCGCTGCAAGTGTTTAAAAAGAGACGCTCTGAGGGTCGCAGTTGAGGCCGAAGCCTCCTGAGTTGCTAATTTTAGTTCCTCGCCGAAAGATCGCCGTTCCGGGCTATCTGCTTCGACGGAATTCGGAGCGAGACAAAAGCCCTAGTAGGAAGATAAGGTTTCTGCTCCTGAGATGAGCATTAACGCCGACGTTCAGGTATGTCCCTTTGTGACCACAACAATGAGTTCGCAACTTTGTTTTTTGAACCGTTTGAATTTTCCACAGGTTGCGTGGGCAGACGGCGCCAGCTTCGCGGGCACCGTGACCGCCGTGCACGCAGACGGCTCGTGCGATGTGCTCTACGCGGCCGCTGTGGGGGGCAAGCCGTGTCTGGAGAAGTCCGTCTCAGCTGAGCGCCTCTACGTGACCTCCCCGGGGGTCCCAGGGGGCGGGGATTACTGGGAGGCGGGGGAGGCGACGAGCAAACCGAGGAGCCGCAGAGAGGCCAAGCCCAGGGCTGTGGCTGATACCACTAACAACGCTAACGTGATCGCCACCATCCTGCAGGTACTACTAGCACTAACGACACTACTAATATTACTAACACCTCTAAACACTAACGACACTAATACTACTAACACTACTGACACTACTAACACTATAAACACCTCTAACACTAACACTACTACCACTTCTAACAGTATTTACACCTCTAAACACCTATAAACACTTCTGAACACGTCTAAACACTAACGCTCTCCGCTCACCCCTCTACTCTCCCCCCCAGCGGAGAACTGACCTGGACGGAGACGGGGACCCGCTAGAGTGCCCCATGCTCTCCGACCGCGAAGTGATATTAGTACACGACGCACTCACTCCCGCCAGAGGTAGGCACAGACCCCCCCAACACCCCTATACACCCTTATATACACCCTTATACCTATACACCCCCATACCCCTATACACCCCCATACCTCTATACACCCCCATACCTCTATACACCCCCATAACTCTATACCCCCCCATACCCCTATACACCCCCATACCCCTGTACACCCCCATACCCCTATACTGACATTGATTCTACCCCCTACTCTCTACCTATTCCCATTTTCCCCTACACATTCCCCTATTCCCCTATCCAGTGCTGGATCTGTTTAAGAGCCGCTCCGTATCGA